TCACTATGCGAATACGTGGTTAAACGGTGCGCGGATTAAACGAGGCACCTGTGTGTGTGTGTGTGTGTGTGTGTGTGTGTGTGTGTGTGTGTATTTAGAGTGTGACTTTTTAATATTCTTCTGATAGTCTATCAGAAGAATAGACGAGTAGACGTTGTCTAGAGGAGCGGGGTAAAAACCAAATAAATAAATAAATACATACATAAATACATAAATAAATAAATAAATAAATAAATATTTTATCTCCTTACTGTTCTTGCAACCTCCTTCTCTTTCATTAATCTAGTTGTTGTAATGTGTCATCAAGCCACCTCTGACTTATCACGTCCTTAGGAAGGAGTGATCTCCAGAAAATCCTGACCTCCACAGTCCTGCCCAACTCTTGTAGGCTCAAGCCCATGGCTTCCTTTAGGGAGTCCATCCATCTGATATTTGGTCCTCCTCTTTTCCTGCTGCCTTCCACTTTTCCTAGCATTATTTTCTTTTCCAGAGAACTTTGCCTTCTGATGATGTGCCCAAAGTAGGACAGTCTGAAATTCATCAGGTTTGATTCTAGAGATACTTCAGGCTTGATTTGATCTAGGACCCACTTGCTCATTTTTCTGGTAGTCCATAGTATCTGCGGAGCTCTCCTCCAGCACCACATTTTAAATGAATCATTTTTTTCCTTCCCAATAATTTGCAGGTTTGTAAGTATGCTGGAACTTAGTTTCCAAATCTTAGGCTTGTTCATTGAAATATTAATAGCCCACTGGACTTTACTGGAGCATCGTCAGATGTGAAGAAAGGAGAAAAATCTACCTTAGCTGATAGCAATGCAAGTGATTCTGAAATAAATACAGGGTGTGTTTTTGAATAAGTATACTTTCTTTCTGAAGATATTTGGATATCTTTCTGAAGATAATATGGACATAGATGGAAAAATTCTCATCTTAGACTGCTTAGCGGAGAAATTGGGTGCCCTTTTATTAGTTTTTGAAATTAAGTAGAAGGTCAGCTGGAATATTGGTCTAGTTTTTTTTAAAAGCTTGATATAATAACTGTATTAAGGGACTCTGGGAACGGATTGTATTATTTGCATGGATAAATATATTGCTGATTATGTGATTGTACTGATAATGGGGTTATAAAATAAAGGGAGAAAAAGGAAAAAAAAATAGTATGGGCTGAATTAACTGCATTCTTAAATAAAAATGGAAATTCTGGCTTACTGAGAGGAACAAAACAACAAGGTGCTTTTTCTTACGGCAGATGGCGGGGAAAACATTTCGGCAGCCGCAGAACCTCTTGATTTTCCTGCTACCATCACACCGCTTCATGGCAACGAGAAAGGGGACCTGTGCTTAACAGGTTGGTGCTTCTTGAGAATGGGGAAAGGAGGTTTTATAACATTTCTGTGGGGAGGCGCCATGATTGCCTCCCCTGGGTCAATCTGTGCACTCAAAACCGCTCAGTGGGGAGAAACGGGCTCCCCAGACGACTCCCTTCTTGTAAGTGTAACATTCTCACCGAGGACTTCTTTCACTCAAGGGAAGTCCCGAGAGGGAAGAATTATGTTTAAAGGGATTTTTTTTTTAAAAAAAAAATATACAAATACTTAAGTAGAGACCCCACTGTATATATACAAATGGATAAGATGGATAAAAATGAGTTTCTACTGGACTGTAACATCAGATCAGGTGCAGAGGATCTAATTCCAGAAAGGAAAATTCCAAGAAGAAAGCCCAGAAGCGAAACCAGGAGAGTCCAGCATATCCTTCACAGCCGGGGTCAGAAAACACCACAGTCACAAGCAAGAACCGGAGGCACAGGGTCTCCAGTGACCAGCCCTTTCTCACTCAAGGTTTAGTTAGCTGGGGGTAGAGACCTTTGACTGTCTGGGAAAGGAACTCAGTGGTAGAGTTGGTTGGCTCTGGTCCTCTTGGGAAACAGAATTTTTCCACGCACACCCCCAAGGAGACAATCTGTCCCTCTGAGGAGATCTTTTGTCCTGAGCAGACCTTCCCTCCAGCTAGCTGCATACTTTCTTGGAGATCCTCAAACTCAATTATTCCCCTGTTTTGCTCCTGGGGTGTTCCTGCCTTGTCCGTTGATTGGGCTACTGGGACACCATCAGTGACAGACTCGGAGTATGAGATCTTTGAGGCTCCAGGGTCTGCAGGACCGGCAGCTCTTTCCTCACATCCTGCCCTGGGAGTTGGGGGTTCATGTTCACCGAAGGGCCCTCTGTGGAAGCTCTGTGTTGCAGAGTTGACTCTCAATTAGCATGTTTTTGAACTGCAATTCCCAGAAACCTCAGCCAACACAGTTGGTGGTGAAGGCTTCTGGGAGTTGCAGTCCAAAACTCCTGAGTAACCCAAGGTTAAGAACCAGTGATCTAAAAGATCAAGAGATGCATAGGTGCCACACTCCTGTGAAGCAGAAGAAATAACACTATCCTTTTTTCCTCTTGCTGTTTTCCTCACGAGATCTTTAGGGCCATGTAGACATTTTTCCCCTTCCAGAGGATTCTTTCTCTCACAAATACAATTCAGTATTTTTTTTTCTGCTTGTTCTTGTTCCAGCAGATGAAGTAAGTTGTGCCACAGAAGAAGCCTACAAATGCACCTTGTGTGGGAAATATTTTGTTGAACATGTGGCACTTACACTGCATGAGAGGGTCCACGCTGCAAGCCTGTGTTTCCGACAAAAAGTGTCCGGAAAAGTTCATGATAATAAACCGCAATTTGGAAGCCACCAGAGAATCGAAAGGGGAGAAAAAAAATACCAATGTCAGGAATGTGGGAAAAGATTTGCCAGGCATTTCTTCCTTCAGGTGCACCAGAGAGTCCACACAGGAGAGAAACCATACAAATGCGAAGAGTGTGGAAAATATTTTAATCGCAAATCCAACCTTTTGGCGCACCAAAAAATCCACACAGGAGATAAACCATACAAATGCCAGGACTGCGAGAAATTATTTTTTTGCATTTCGGGCCTTGTGAAGCATCGGATGATCCACACAGGAGAAAAACCATACAAATGCCAGGAATGTGGAAAATATTTTAATCGCAATTCAAACCTTCTGGCCCACCAAAGGGTGCACACTGGAGAGAAACCACACAAATGCCAAGAGTGCGGGAAATGTTTTGCTCAGAATTCAACCCTTCTCACACACCAGAGAATCCACACAGGAGAGAAACCATTCAGATGTCAAGAGTGTGGGAAATGTTTTGCTCAGAGTTCAGGCCTTCTGAAACACCAGAGTGTCCACACAGGAGAGCAGCCATACCAATGCCAAGAGTGTGGGGAATGTTTTGGTTACAGTTCAGCCCTTTTGACGCACCAGAGTGTCCACACAGGAGAGAAATTATTCCCATGCCAGCAGTGTGGGAAATGTTTTGCTTACAATTCAGCGCTTGTGAGACACCAGACTGTCCACACTGGAGAGAAACCATTCAGATGTCAGGAATGTGGGAAATGTTTTGCTCAGAGTTCAGGCCTTCTGAAACACCAAAGAGTCCACACTGGAGAGAGACCGTACAGGTGCCAAGAATGTGGGAAATGTTTTGTTCAAAGTTCAGGCCTCCTGAAACATCAGCGAATCCACACTGGAGAGAGACCATACAAATGCCAAGAGTGCGGGAAATATTTTGCTGAGAATGCAACCCTTGTGATCCACCAGAGAGTCCACACAGGAGAGAAACCCTACAAGTGCCAGGAGTGTGGGAAATGTTTTTCCCAGAATTCACACCTTCTGAAACACCAGCGGATTCATGTGACGGAGAGATAAGACTCATGAAAGTCTTAGAGATATCTTATTCCTGAGTCAGATTTCACAGAGCATCAGAGATTCCACACAGGAGAAAAACGCAGAAATGACAGCAATGTGGGAAATGTTTCACTATCAATTTATAGGTTGTAAGTCATCACAGAGTCCACAATGGGCCAAATCTGCGGGTGTGAGAGATTGCAGAAGTTGACCAAGACATTGAAGAGACAAAGGCTCATTCCAGTCTGTTTCAGACCTATCCTGCTTTGTGGGAAGAATCAGTACATCCTGTTTCCTTGTAGAACCCAGTGGGTAAATTCACTAAGTCTAAGTCTATGTTTTACACCATGGAGACCCTTCCAGCTGCAAGGCTCAAATCTCTCCCATTGCTCTAGAAACAGCGTTGTGAGTGGATGGAGTCTCTGGCAAACAAAACAGGAGTTGCTTTTTTCTATTCCACTTATAATGCACAACTCTCTGAATCCCCCCATTTTTTATTCCCCCCCCCATAAAATATAAATATTGGTAAATATAAGTAATTCTTTCTGTCTCGTTTTGGTTCTTCTTGATGCAACTGCCAATATGCTTTTAGTTTTCTTATAATCTGCAAACGTGTTTCCTGGCAATGATAAATGTTCTTTTCTAAATATGGGGAAATGCCCTGATCCCAAAGCCTACTTGGTTTAAGATCTCAAGACGACGGCACATCATCTTGGCTTCAGCTCCTTGTAGTCAAGAAACTGGAACTTGAGATGGCTGTCTTGCCAAACCAACTTGCCAGGGCTAGCCAGCTAGGGTTAATGGAAGTTGTTTTCTAGCAACACCTGAGGGTCACCTGTTGTTTAGCTTTGTTTCTAGGCACAGTTCCTCCTATGGATAGGGCTGACCCAACTGTAAAGCAGGGAAGCATATTTTCAGCGTTCACTACCTGTTCCTGTGAGTGGAAGATTCTTATATTTCATCCATTACACTCTTCATACGTAGTTGTCCATGTGACACTGAAGTATGTCTAGCCCTTTAGACTTTGTATTGGGCCAGACACCTGTATCATCCTTGGAAGGATGGAAGGCGGAGTGAACTTCAAGCCAGCTACCTGGGACTCGACGCCAAGTCTTGAGCACAGTTTAACTACTGTGCCGTAAGGCTCCCAGAAGGCATTGTGTAAATGTCTTGCCAAACCAACTTGCCAGGGCTAGCCAGCTAGGGTTAATGGAAGTTGTTTTCTAGCAACACCTGAGGGTCACCTGTTGTTTAGCTTTGTTTCTAGGCACAGTTCCTCCTATGGATAGGGCTGACCCAACTGTAAAGCAGGGAAGCATATTTTCAGCATTCACTACCTGTTCCTGTGAGTGGAAGATTCTTATATTTCGTCCATTACACTCTTCATATGTAGTTGTCCCTGAAGTATCTCTAGCCCTTTAGACTTTGTATTGAGCCAGAGACCTGTATCTTCCTATTTGTTAAGAACAAAAGCAAAAACATGGTGCTTATCTACCACCCCATAACACTTCAATGACTCTCTGAGCTTTTTACAATTTAATTATGCAGACCACGCATATTGCTTCCCTCCCCAGTGAGCTGGGTACTCATTTTACCGACCTTGGAAGGATGGAAGGTGGAGTGAACCTCAAGCCAGCTACCTGGGACTCAACACCAAGCCTTGAGCACAATTTCGGCTGCAGGACAGCAGTTTAACTACTGTGCCATAAGGCTCGCAGAAGGCATTGTGTAACCTGGCAATCCCAACTAGTGGCAAGTGTCTCTTTACACCTCTCCTGCTTCTGTGAGTGTATTCTTTCCACAAGTATGACAAGCGCACTGAACCTGGCAAGGATTCGTAAATGTAAACTAGAAAGCAAAAGCAGGACTTTTCCATTCTCACCATGTATGGGCGCTGGGCTGCTGACTGGCAGTCCGAATCATAGGATCCCCCCCCCCCAGACCGAAAGTGTTACACTGGTTGCCATTTGTACTCAGACATTTGCAGGTCTTCTGGAGAGGACCTTTTAAAAATACCAACAGTTTCAGAATAATCCCATTGTCTAAGAGCCTCCAGTGTGGCTCTTAGACAATGGAAGCCACAGTCTTCCTAGTCATCTTTCCCCCCTTCTGGCTGATTTTAAGGAAAATATCTTTTTTTAAAACTGTCATAAGGCATTTCATTTGCCTTCCTGTGTTTTCTTTCATCTGTGTATCCACAACCTTTGCAATTACAGTTTGGAACATCATAGATGTGGAAATGATGTCTTGGGTTTTTAATACTGGGACCTCTTCTATGCACAGCCTCCCCGAATGTGTTTCCTGAAGTACTTGTCTGAATTCGTCTCTTTGGTGAGCTGCCTCTGCTTCTTTCTCGGGGCTTCAGTATTTAGTGTGAGAAGTCGGGGAAGGCAGGTCCCGTCACTTGCTCTGGCTCTTGCACTGAATCTCAGCGTGTCTCTTTACACCTCTCCTGCTTCTGTGGGTGTATTTGAACCTGGCAAGGATTTGTAAATTTAAACTAAAAAGGAAAAGCAGGACTTTTCCATTATTGCAATGTATGGGCGCTGGGCTGCTAACTGGCAGACCAAATCGTAGGACCCCGCAGCCTTCTAGGGGGTGCTGTTCAAATAACTATTAGCAGGAAAGAAGTCTCCCCCCCTTCAGCTGTTAAAAAATGAGATATAAACAGCAGTGTTATTCAGGAAGGGAAGCTTTTTTTAAAATAAGAAAGTGGGAGAGAGGCTTTGTTGGGGGAAGTGTGCGTTGGTGTTGTCCTGTGTGCATGTTTCATCTAGGTAAGAGGAAGGAATTTAGGGGACGGTGCTTTGTGTGTTCATGTGCTCCGTTGCTAGAAATGATCCTAAATTATTCATCTTTTTAAAAAGTAGAAGCCTTCCTAGTGGAGAGGGGAAACTACAGATGGGAGGAAATCTGGGCTCATTATCTACTGTAATGCAGGAAAAGGAAAAAAAATGTGGATCAGTCTTCTCCAGACCCATAGTATTTCCATTATGTTTTGGTAATGTGGTTGCCCCCTTATATGAAAAACTAAATGTCCTTAAGCTGGAAGAAAAAAAAGAGGTGAAGTAAATAAGATTTCAGCTTTGTAGTAAGAACTGAACGGTTTATAATATAGAATGTTCTTATTCTTCAGGGTGTTTTTTTTAACAAACTTTATAAATTCTGTTAAAAAATTTTTTTGAGATCCACTGGCACACAATTATATACCACATAGGATGTATTGCCAAAATAACATCAGCTATTTCTCCTTCAACCAACAGGCTTTTCCTTGCAATTTGTCTGGCTTGGTAAAAGGGTCGTCTCAGGGAAAGGCAAACCCCATACTTAGTGAAGGGGGTTAGGGACAGTTGTTCCTTGATGGTGGCCTACAGCGGGTAAAGGAAGGTGGGGGCATCCCCTCTTTGGGGTGTTTCTTTGCTTTCTTTCTCCGAGGGGCACCGGGGGTAGCAAAAGCAGCTTACGCCATTGCCTCCTTGCTTTAAATTGTGTCTTCTGGGGGGAGCGAACGGACAAAGAGACCCTTCAGAGTCGGTGTTGCGGATCCCAAAGGAACGTCTGATTCCCACGAAAGTGATCTTCCTTTGCAGTACAGACTCAAACAGAGATCCCAACCCAGGAGTGATGTGAGTCGGTTGCTCTGAGCCCAAAAGTTTTATACCATCCTACAAGGACTTGTATTGTCAACCCACTGCTCAAGTGGCCAGATGTGCATTTGGAACATCACAGATGTGGAAATGATGGCTTGGGTTTTTAATACTGGGGAGCTCTTCTACATACAGCCTCCCTGAATGTGCCTCCTGGTGAGCTGCCTCTGCTTCCTTCTCTGGGCTTTAGTATTTAGTGTGAGAAGTCAGGGAAGGCCGGTCCCTTCACCTGCTCTGGCTCTCGCACCGAGTCTGAGGTGGCCTCCTTTATCAAGCCTATTCATAGCTCAGTGAGAATCGGCAAAAAAGAGAGGAAATGCAAGGATTATGGAAATGTTGAAGGGGGCCTGCGTAGCCTCTCTTGCATCCAAGAAGAGAAATGATGTCTTGGGTTTTTAATACTGGGGACCTCTTCTACATACAGCCTCCCTGAATGTGTCTCCTGGTGAGCTGCCTCTGCTTCCTTCTCTGGGCTTTAGTATTTAGTGTGAGAAGTCAGGGAAGGCCGGTCCCTTCACCTGCTCTGGCTCTCGCACCGAGTCTGAGGATGCGTTCCAATGGGAAAGAATCGTCATTGTCTAGCAGGAAAGCTGCTTTGCGAACCGCCAATCAGCTGTTTAAATCGGTCTTGCGAAGCTTAGGTCCCAAAAACACCCGGTTTGCGAGTGCGGAGGAAGCTGTTAAAATCGTTGTCTAACGAAAATCGGTTTCCGATGCAGGGACCAAACATTGTCCAGTGAAATTCCCCCATAGGAATCACTGTTTTGCGAATCGCTATAGCGATCACAAAAAGCCAATGTCTAGCGAAAAACTCATGCGGGGTAACTGTCTAGCAAGGCACCACTGTATATGAGAAATGCCCCAGGGTCCAGGAAAGCCTGTGTCAAATCAAATGGCTTAGCCTCTTGTGTTGTCAACACGAAAAGGGCCTGGGCTGACGAGCCCCACCTACCCGGCATAGCTCAGTGGGAATCAGCAAAAAAAGAGGAAATGGAAGGATGATGGAAATGTTGAAGGGGCCCAGGGTCCAGGAAAGCCTGTGCCAAGTGAAACATGAAAAGGGCCTCGGGATGATTTGGGGCTGGAAGGCTGGTGAGGCAGAGAGAGAGAGAAGGGAAATCAGGTGAGTCTCAGAAAAGGCCAGATCTTGGATTTGAGGAGCTTTGCCTCCCTGCCCCAGGGAGAAAAACCTCTAGCCGCTCATCCATGTGCTCTGGGAGCCGATTGGAGAGAGAAGGGAAATCAGGTGAGTCTCAGAGAAGGCCAGATCTTGGCTTTGAGGAGCTTTGCCTCCCTGCTCCAGGGGAAAAAACTCTAGCCACTCATCCATGTGCTCTGGGAGCTTATTGGCTGGGTC